CAAATTCAAATTGTTATCTGGGCTAGCCCAATTGACAACTGGGCCGATTTTCATTTGGGGCACAACATATATATATATATTAAGTTTAATATATAAAATTTTATCACAAATAATTTATATTAAAGTTAGTATTAAGATTTGAAAAGTTTTTAGATTATTTCTAAACAATTATATAATATAATAAATATTATACTCTAAAATGCAATTGTTAATAATCAAATACTATATATCATTAGCTTTATATAAAATTAAAAAAATATATCAACTTATTTGACTATTAAGTATTAAATCTTAAATCTTTTAAAAGACATATAATTGCTAGTAGAAAGTCAAGAATAAAATATTATTTTAACAAATTGCAAAAAATTTAAAACATCTTCATATTCAGAAAATATATTAATTAGTGATTATTTACCCTTAATATACTTCCATTAACTTATGTGTGCTAACACCCAAAAAAAAGATTTTTAATTTCATTGAATTCCAAATATTTTCGTTGATTATTATGTCTATTATGTATTTCAATTTTTCCACTTTCCAAGAATTTTTTTCCTATTATCATTAACCAAGGATATCCAAGAAGTTCAGCATCTTTCATTCGATATCCAAATGATAAATTCATGCGATCGTCAATCAGAACTTCATCATTTAACCCATTACATTCCGAAATTAAAAAATCATATAAGGACCGAATTTTTTCAGTAATCTCTGGTTCATCACCACCTGGAATAATACACACACGGTATGGAGCAACTGACTGTGGCCATATTATTCCTTTCGAATCATGAGAAGATTCGATAATTGCAGCAAGCATTCGTGAAACACCTATACCATAACATCCCATTTGGATTGATAGCAATTCTCCTTTATTTTCAGGTGCAAATGTAGCTTTTAATGGATCTGAATACTTCGTTCCTAAAAGAAAAGTATGTCCAACTTCTATTGCACGATTACTTTCAAGTGGATGAAAATTATCAGGATCGTGTGATGTAATGGAATCCTTATAACAAACAGGACATCTATTATTATCGATACCATGAGCACATTCTTCATTAGAAGTATATCCGCATCGCAAGCATGACAAAATTAGATCTTCACCAACTAAGTAACGATTCATAAAGATTCAGTCAACAAATGCTATAAAAATTATAGAGCAAGAAAAGACATTTGATTCACCAGGTGACAAAATATGAAATTCATGAGATTTTGTTCCACCGATATTGCCTGTGTCAGCTTCAGCCTATATATCTCAAAAAAGATTAAATATTTTAATTCTTTTTATATATATGTTTTAATCTAATTTACAAGATTAATACTAATACTAACGACAGCGAATGGTAGCCCAATCCGAGTAAATATCTTTTTGTATGCTTCATTAATTTCTTCATAAGTTTTTAAGGCTGCTTCTTCAGTAGCATCAAATGTATATAAATCTTTCATAATAAATTCTCTTCCACGAAGTAATCCCGCTCGTGGTCGCATCTCATCACGAAATTTTCTACCTAAATTAAAGATCAATCGAATCAACCTGAAATTTTTTTAAAAAATATATATCTTAAAATAATAATTTATTTATAAATCACCTATTTGATATAATCGTAACGGAAGTTGCCTATAAGAAAAAATGTCATTCGCAACCAGTTGTGTGATTTCTTCTTCATGCGTTGGTGCTAGACAGAAGTCAGAAGTCTTACGATCCTTAAGTTTAAATAGCTAATGTAGTTTTATAAAGCAATTTTGTATAAAATAATATGTAGTTTTACATCTTCAACAGGATCAAAATTAGAATTTAATTTCAATTCCTTGAACAAACCTCGCTCCCAGTAGCATTCCATCGTCCTGTCCGCTTCCACAAATTGGCGCTTAATAAAATAGGGAGTGATAATTTCTGGGCGCCTTGTTTTTCATAAAAATTAAACAATAATCTTTACTAAAAGAAATTCACGTCTCAACATACCAACGTTTCTCATTTCCTGATCTATAATTTTTTCAATTTTTTCTATAGAACGTAATGCAAATGGTAACAGCGAATACACGCCCGATGATGACTAGTATTCAAAAAAAAAGAACTTTTTAAAATAAAGACCAATAAAATTTATAATTGTAATTCAACAATCTAACCGATACATATACCTGCCTTATGAGACCGGCACGAATCATTAATTGATGACTTTCTCCCTTGACAGCGCCATCATTTTCTATCGTCGATGCTTCTTTCTTGTCTTTTACAGTTTTCGAAGCGGGGTCGTTTATAGTTGGAAGGAAGACTTTGGATAGGCATGCTCTCTTATCGTAGTTCTATTTTTGGAAGCAGAGAAATGTTTTAAGATATATTTTTTTTTAAAATTCGTGTGGCATTGAAAAGGGTGCATGGAGACGCACGATGGAACTATAATTGAAGCAATTCTTTGGGGCATATTTTAATCTTGTTAAAGATGTTCTGAGCATTGTTATAAAAGAAAGATAAAAATTAGATTTTCGGGATCATTCTGATTATCTAAGGTTATCGTGTACGACATAAAAATGTGTAACACGAAAATTTAAAAAGAATGCGTTATCGTTATGCGAAAAATTTCATAGCTCGGGTAGAAACCGGGTGGATTAAAAAAGCAACCCGTCGGGTGGACTCCTGAGTCATCCGGGTGAAAATAGATGTCCCGTTATTATGCATACCTGTATATACAAATATATTTCTAAGTAATAGTTACATCCTTAGTATATAATTTGTTTTAAAAGTCTAGCATCAAAAATAAAATAGTAACTTTTTTTAGTTCGGGTAGAAATTTCCTAAGAATTCATTGTTTATTATGCTTGATATGTAAAAAATGTAAAAATAATTCTTGAACGTCCTTTATCAATGGTAAATTTTTGAATAAAAAAGATGTGTTGTATCTCAGTGAAATGGTATCGTTTAAATTAACCTCCAATCCATTGAATGGGTGCTTGAGAACACCCTTAGTCTAATATAAAATCCGTTTTTGAAAAGTTTTTTTTTTTTTTAAAAAAAAAAAGCAAATAATATACATACAAATGCATATTTGAATTGAAGTTTAGTAAAGTCTTGCGCAAAAGATCATCTCGCGGGTCCAATCACTACTCTAGCAAAGCAATAAATAATAATCTTAGGCCTCGCGTAGATGGTCGAGCCTAAAAGTCGATGTTATGAAAAATCGACGCGTTATAAAAGTATATTTTATGATCTCAGATTAAAAACGAGTGAATTACAGAGTGCACATAAAATTTAATTTATACACTGATGTTCTAGTTTTCCTAATATTATTATACAATTTGTCAAGGGCAATAATAAACTTATTATTAGCTATATAACAGATAATTAGGTAGATATTTATACTTTTTGTATACTAACAATAAGTTTGTTAATTTCTATAATTTCGTTTAACACGCAGTAGGGGGAGGGGGTCAATTTAAACAAACATTATGTTATATTGCAAAAAAATAATCCCATTATTGTTAGTTGGCTTATAAACGCGTGACTTATTAGAATCTCAAGACATAATGAACGTTCTGATTGCAGTTTAATCACGGGGCTCTTGGAGGTGGGGGACGTTAAACGAAATTGTAATTTAAAAAGCCTAACAGCTAATATAAACACTGATCTTAACGTAAATAAACTTATAGTGGTCGCAAGTCACATCTTCAAGGGTTGAAAAATATTGACAAGGTATTTCGAACAAAATGTTATTTTTGATATTAAATTATAAAATGATGGAAATTTTGAAGTCCTTAGTTAATGTAATGGAGTTGTGTAAGTAGTAATGTTAAATTACCCGCGAGAAGCTACTTTATTACATTGACTTTAATGGGTGCCTAATAAATCGCTAGCGAATGCTGATTAATAATTTGCATTGACATAATCGAATATTTATTATTAATCAAAGCCCAGATACGTTCTTTCATGAAATGAACTCAAAACATTAATGGATGCTGATTTATTTCGTAAATAAATTTAAGGAGCAAACGGTTGAAGAGTAGAGGCTGAATGAACTATAGGCAATATAAAGATAAAGTGAAGGTATTTATTATAAATGATTTTTGCTAGAATTAATATTATGTGAGGGACCAACATGAGGTTGGTTCCAACGTGAGGTCAATCAGTATTTAAAGTCTGCCAATGATAATCATAAAAAATACTGATTGACCTCACGTTGGAACCAACCTCTCTCAATTTTTTTTTATATATTAAACTATGTAGAACAATTATTATTATTTTTTATCTACTAGCTCTTTAATCCTCGTAATACTTCGAAATTTATTAAAACTAGCCGTCGTCACGTCAAAAAAACAAAAATAAAAAAGATAGCTACCGAATTGTCCATCTATCTCTTAAACACTAAATAAAGTTGATCACTTTTTTTTCAATTACCATTACTAAAAATCAAATCAAGTGATTAGTTAAATAACTTAAATTTTGTATACGAATTATGTATGTTCATGCATAACGTTTACCTTATATTATCTAAATTTATATTATCTAAATAAAATTGAAACTTAAGATTTAATTGTTGCTTTTTAAAATAAAATAATCGATCTAATTGTGAAATTAATCAAGTAAATAAATTCGAGAACCTATATCTCCGACAATCCAATCCGTTCCTCGAAGTAAATTTTCACCAGTGACTGCACTACAACTCTGAATTGCCCAGTGATGAGTTACAATTGAATTAAGGTCAAGTCCCTAAATAAAATTGTTCTTTAACAACAAAAATTTATAAAACATTATGCCTTAAATAAAACCGGATCGTAATATCAAGCACCTGACGAATCTGTACGTATTAGCAAAAACTAATAACGAAGCACCAGCCAAGCGCTAAGTTTGAAATGCCAAATTAATTTTGTACCCTTATTTTAATACAATGACAATAAAAATATAAATTTTACCTCTTCTAATAATAACGCTTGCAATTCCTTCTTACAATCATCTAATCGCATCCTATCAGCGCTATCTACAACCCATATTACGCCGTCAATTTTTTCAAAATAATTTCTCCAATAAGTTCTTATAGACTTTTGACCGCCAACATTGAAAACGTGTTAACTTAAACTTTCATATTAATAAATTATATTAATGAGTCATTAATTACGTAGTTTTTCTTAACCATAAAATTAATGTTCATAAAAGATATAAATACCCATTATGTTCCAAAGTTTTTATGTTAAAGCCTAAAGTTGGTGAAAACGTGTCAATGGGTTCACCATTTAAACAACGAAACTCAAGACTAAATAAGTGGTAGAAGCATATAAATTACTTACAGGACAAGTAACCTTATTTCTTTTCATTTTGACGAATTTTTTCGTAAAATTGATAAAAGTCCAGTTAGTGTCGCGCCAAATCAATTAACGTAGTGTAGATTCGTTTTTATTGGCTGATACGCAACATACTGTACGTACAGTACGTACGTACGTACGTATATACACGGGTACCGAATTCGACGACGCCAACGACGAAAGAAAAGACTATCAGAAAAAAGCACTGAATCTACGACACAGAAAAAGGTACTGAACTTACGACAAAGAAAAAACCACATTACAAGAAGCACCAAATTGGACGACACCAAAAGCGAAGGAAAACACCAAACCGGACGATACCAACGACGAAAAAGAAATCACGTTGCAAGGAATACCGAATGGGATATACCAGGGACGAGAGAAGAAACACCGAACTGGACGGCACCAACGACGAACGATGCACATCACCAAAATCGACAAACAATCTAAACTAATAAAAAAAATAAATAAATAAGTAAATAAATATATGTTAGTACTCATTAAATAAAACAAGAAAAAAAATAATAACTATTTTTTTAAAAAAAATAAAATAAAACAATGGATTGTCGTTGCTGGGAATCGAACCCAGTGTGAATCACCGACAGACAACGACTTAAAAAACCGTTTTTCTTTGGCAAAGAAAAACGTAAAGGAGTGAGAACATTCCTTATCTGCACCGGTAAAATTTAAACCCACTAATGTTTCATTAAAGATGGGTAGAGTACATTCTTTAACGGGACAGTCTAATCGCCTCGACATTAT